TTCAAAGCTATAGAAGAATTCAGCGATGCCAAAGCCGTATCAGAATCAACAAGGGATGATAATCCTGATCAAGAAGTTTTGCCTAGGGTGATTGAAAAAATTTTTCTTCCAAAAATTGCAGGTATAGTGAGATTGTCTTCAAAAATGTTCATTGAGCTAGGCAATCAAACCTTAAATAAAAGCGATAGCTTTCAAATAATGTTAGTTATGTAATGGTGCTCCAAGATGTAACAGTTACATAGCCTCACTCTGTGGGACTAAAGCAACCACTTTGTAAGATTAGTGAGGGAGGCTTAGCTTTTTACGTGTTTGCTTCTATTACGTTGCAGTGCCTTGAACTAGAGCAGATATGTACTTGGGTATTGTGAGTGAAATGAATTTCTTTATTTTCCAGCATTTGTGGAGAGTGTGTGGGATCCTTTATCTACTTCACAGACAAAGAATCTCGTACAGCTTTGCAACAACATCTTTGTGAAACAAGTCCTCTCAAAAAATAAGCGCAGTCAAGCAAAAGAGGTAAAAATACAAAACAAAACAATTTTTCATCCACTGTGTGTGCTTTCTGTGCGTGCTCTTAGGGGCACTGTCCTGAAGTTGTTTGGTTCTGATTACTTGCTCGTTTTGACAAGATTGAACAGTTAAACTTTCAGCTCTCTCATGCTGTCCTTATTGAAGGTGGTGGGAGATGGGACACTCTTAGGGCAGAGATTAGCTTCTGTTCTAGAAAAGTTCTGCCTGTACCTACCAAGAAGATGATTGTAGACCTAATCTTGCTTCACTGCAGTGGCACTGGTTAGAATTTATGTTTGCATTTAATTATCTTTCCAAGTTTGAGCTTTACATGCTCATAACGTTTCAGTGGTCAACTCCTTAAGCTTTTATTTATGAAGTAGATATAAAACTTTAAGACATGAAAATCCCTAAAGGTTAATTACTTCACTAGGAGAAAGGCTACTTCTTAATCTTGGCAATCTTTTAATAATTATTTTTATACCCATAGTTACTCTAGCATGCCCTTCAGCCTGATTCCGGTTTTACTCTGATGTGAATCTGGAGGTGCATTTAGTATAAAACTGGTGAAACAGAATGGATATTTAGGCCCTGAGTATGAAAAGAAGTATTTTAAGAAAATCTTTGTCCCTTCTGAGCCTTCCAAAAGTGCTGATTTGAAACCATGACTTGAAGTCAAATGGTACAGTTGACCTTAGCTATGTTGTACAGAAAGTAAACTAAATGTTAGAAAAGTTAGGTGGCAATCTGTGGCACCTAAAAGCGTGTTGCCTAAAAACACATCCTAACCTAGCTATGGTAGTTAAATACACTAGGTTAACCCTGTAGGTAATTATAGCTGTGATTTGTCTACTGTTTTTAATATATTACTTCTCAGTGTGTTTTATATACAAGTGGCAGCTGTACTTAGCTGTAACACAACACTTCTAGATGAACAAAATAAGCAGTGAAGTTGTTACAAATGGAAGAGGAAGTCTTTCTTGTGAGACACATTAATAATTCTTTTTTTAATAGGATTTGATGAATGTGGTTATCCTAAGAATGAAGAAATCAGTAGAGGAAGATGTCTTTATTCCTCTGTATCCTAAAAGGTAAGCTGACTCTGGGAATCTTTAAAAAAAAAAAAATACAAATTTAATTCCTCTACCCTTCTCCCCCACAGCTATAGGTGAAGCATTGTAAACATCCATCAACACCTATGGAACAAACGTGCCTTCTACTGTTTTATTATGGCAGAGGTTATGAAGCCTTTGTCCTCTTCATGAACCCTTTCTAAAAGGGTAACTCCACTGTCTTAATTCTTTTTTCTTGTAACCGACAGCTTTTCAATATATGAGATTTACAGTCTAGCTTTAGCATAGCAATTTATGTGTGAGGGCCTGTCTTAGTCCAGATTGTCTGGTATTGTGTACCTGTGTCCCCTGACTTCCTCCTGTTGTTCCAAAAATAGGGCTTTTTATGATGGATGCTTATTTCTGGGCACTGTTTCGAAGATGGGAGTAAGTAAGAGTCTGGGAGATGTGGGGTTAAGATACAACTATGAGAGAAGCTTTGCTAAAGATGGGGTAGGATGTTTGGTTCTAAGCAGTTCTGTTTTGGTACCTAGCCATAAAATGCAGACACAGGTGTTTCCAATTGCTACTTCTATTGGAAGTTAATTCATAGTAGTGGTATTACAATGAGTTCAAATTGGCAGCTGTTTCCGTAGACATTTATTCTGGCTGCGGCTGTCACTGCTGAAACAATTCCAGAATTAACATTCATCAGTATCTAAGAGCTCAATTATCTGTTTATCTTCCTTTAAAAACCAAACAAACTCCTCCTGTTATCTTTTTTTTCCTTCTTTCCATGACCAGCACTATGGAAGACAGGTCATCACCACATTCAAAGTTTCAAGACAGGCGGTTTTGGTCAGCTGCTAAGGTAGAGAAATACTTTTTTTTTTTTTTTTTAATTTGCAGTTCATTTTATTGAAAAAAATATTTTATAGTCACTCAGGAAAGATATCTTCACTCAAGTCTGGCTCCTGGGAGAGTAAAACATTTGTATTAGGGTATGGATAACCATTGTGTGTATTCTTGGGCTTTAACCTGAAAGAGGGGAGATTTAGATTAGCTATAAGGAAGAAGTTCTTCCCTGTGAGGGTGGTGAGCCACTGGCACAGGTTGCCCAGAGAAGCTGTGGCTGCCCCATCCCTGGCAGTGTTCAAGGCCAGGTTAGATGGGGCTTGGATCAGCCTGGTCTAATGATACATTTATGATAAGTTTAATGTTTATGATAAGTCTAATGATACATTTAAGATAATGTTCTTTATCTTACACAAAACTTGTGATACTGTGTTTTAGCATGCTTCCAGCCACCCGGTATACATACTCTGTTTCTTCATTATTGCAGCTGCTCTCCAATGTTTTCCTTTGGGATGGAATTGTACAGGAAGATACGGTCCGTGATTTGGGACTGAGCAAGTTGCTGAATCGTTACCTTCTTCTGAACCTCTTAAACACACCACCGGGGCCTGATAGTATAGTAAAGTGTCATAAGGTAAAAGGTGACTTGTACATTGGAGGAAGGTTTAAGCTAAAAGCTTGTGTTTTGTTGTTGTTTTTATGAAGAGTGGTTGAAACTGAAGAGGAAATATTTAAAGATTTTAAACATAATTTAAAATTTAACTTTTTTTAATTACCTTGGTGTATAAAAGCATTTTAGGGCAAATATTGCTCCATAGGTTCTTATGAATAACTCCTTGCAGGGATAGTCAATCTTGGTTTCAAAGAAAAAGCACATGCTTCTAGTAATAACCAAATGTGCCAGAAGATCCCTGTCAGAAGTGATGGGACTTGATTATATTGAAAGATTTTCTTCTTATAAACTTCTGGTGTGAGCAGGTGGTTGCGTGTCTCCCAGAAAGGTGGTTCCAAGATCTTGAAAGTGGGTCAACCCTCCCTGAATTACAGAACTTCTGCCAGTACTTGCTCCAGTGTGCCCGTACGCTGCACAAGAGTAACCACAGGTAATAGATAAGGTTTTCCTGGGGATTTGGGCACTTCCTTGAATAATTTATGTTAAATACTTCTTTAAATACCTTAAGTCTCACGTATTTGACACTTTCAAGGTTGTTTTCATTGCATGTATTCTATAGACATAAAACAAAAGATGGAGTCCAAAATGTAAAGGAGTGCTTCTGCAGTTCTAGTTTGACAGTTTGAGCTGCCAGAGTTAGGCACCCTTAGTGATCAGGGTAGCCAAGGTCACTTGATGACAAGGAGCTGAGGACAGATACCTTACTCTTTAAGATGAGTAAATTAAAGTGTGCTTAAGGCAGGCACATGGAAGTGCTGCAAGATAATATTTTCTTGGGTTTTTTTGTAGCAATGAAACAAAAGAAGTCCTCCTCTTGCTGGTGAAAATCAAGGCTCTGGATGTTGTTGAAGGCTTCATTGAAGAGTATAAACTTGAACACCTTAAGTCGATGATTGGGAAGTAGAAGATTTTGAAGGCCCAATATTGCAACAAGCCCACTAGTCACACTAAACCAGCTCTAATATGAAATCTAATTAGTGAATCCTGCCCACTCAAAGTTGCAGTGGTAATCGCTGTCTTACTGTTAAATACATGAGGTCTCTTTTCCAAGTGTCTTCTACTGCTGTCTACTCCTAGGTTAAAGGATTCCTTTTACAAGTTACAGTTGTCAAAGTAAAGTGATGGTTTTGGGCATTCTAAGATGTATAACAATGTTTTATTTATCCTTTTTGGAAGGATTCCTGAAAAAGAGAGAAAAGTGCCTGTACAATTTGTCACTGCTCACCAGCAGACAACTTCACGAGCTATTTTCAGTATTAATGGCTAAATACCACTCTGACTTGGCATCATTGAGCTCTTCTAACCTGTGGTCCATAGTGATTTTGAGTAATGTCCAGCCAACCCTGGTGAAATAGAATTTGTTATGTTGCAGGGGTTTTGACTGTAACACAGAAACAAGGGAAATCAGTGGGCAGTGATTAGTGTGATGGTAAATCAGCGAGGGAAAAACCTGCACAAGAGAACACCTGGGGAAGAGCAGACGTTGTGAAGACAGCATCTGATGGGTGTGGTCTTGTGCTAGAGTGGTACAGGCAGAGCTGTTGGATGTCCTGTTTTGTCAGGCTTTTAATTACAGACACCTTGATGACAAGCACAGGAACCAAGTCAGTTACTTTCTAGTAACTGAAGCTCTAGGAAGGTCTTCCTTTTACTTCTAATGTTGTATAACTTTGTATATTTGCACTGAATATTGTTAGATAGTAAGAAGGATGCTTTATTGTAGAAACTGTGTAGTGCATCACAGATTCTGTGTGTGTACTTGGGACTCTATTTCTCCATAATCTTTTGGGACTAGAATTTTAATTCTTACAGCCTTAATCCCTGTGATTTCTTTTGTATTTTTTTAAGTTAAAAATGTATTTTTGTAAAGTTTTACCTGTAAATAGTTTTGATCAGTGTTACAGACAAGGTGATTTTTAAAAGGTTTTTTTTTTTTAATGAAGTAAAAATATTTTGCTGTGTTAATGACTCCTACAATTCAGTTCTTCAACATGTGACAGGAATGTTACTAGAAGCAGAAAAAAAACTCAGACACCATTAGCCTTCATTACCTCTAGGAGGTATGAGCTGATGTTCCACATCCTGCTTTCTAGTAATGGTGAATTTCTGTTGTTTTTCTTCTCAGAATGCCAACAAAATTGCAATAGGTCATCAGCAACATCCAGCAGCTCCTGACCTCATTGCTTATCTTGTTCTTGTCTCATCCCAGCTGTCTTTCCTGAAGCAACCAGCCTTATGCTATTATGAAAATGTGATAGATGTTCTGTCACAATTTAGCTGTGTAGGTGGTTCTTTCTGGAAGAAAGATCCTGTGCAGTGACTTGTAAGCACAGGAACAGAGTTTACACCTGCGTGCTTCTGCTGTGGATGTATAATTTTGTGAAATCAGCTGTCCCAGTACTGAGAACCTGCTCTGACCCTCTGTGAGCATTTATCTTGAACCTTACACTAACTCACATGATTTAGCTTAAACAGCATAGTCTGTCCAATCTGGTTTGGTTCTTCAGAACTGGTTTCAGAGCATTTGTATTTGCTCCTCTGTTGGCAGAGCAGTAATGCTCATCTCTCAGAAACAGGAAACTTTTTTTTTTTTAATGGGAAAACTAAACAGTGCTTATGCTTAGAGTATACAGTTGACTCAAATATCTCCACTTCCCCGCTATAGCCTACTACTGAAGTGAAGCAGTTCTACAACTGGCCCCTCCCTAGTCTGCAAAGAGAGAAGCAGCAGATGTATTCGGAAATGACAATACACCTGTCTTGTCTGGGTGATACAAACCCATCTATCTTGTGAACCGTAATTTTAAAAAGGAGCCAGATTAAAAGCCAGGCTGGACAGGGCTTTGAGCCAGCCTGGTCTAGTGGAAGGTGTCCCTGCCCAGGGCAGGGGTTTTGGAAGTAGATTAAGCTCCCTTCCACCTCAAACCATTCTGTGATTCTATGAGGCTCAGCAAAAGGAATGGCTGTTTCCAGAAACAGAAAGTCATTGCTCAACCACAAGAGTCTATGCTTTAAAATCTTCTGGAAAGGTTAACTTCATTGCTTTTATTGCTTACATTGCCTATGCTTGTAAAAAAAACAACAAACCAACTTGACAACTGATAATCTAAAGACTAAAGTCAAAGTAAGTATTAAATTTCTCCATAATTCCCAAAGTGCAAAAGCCATTACTATTTTTTAAGCTCTTCGCTCACTTCTTTCCAAATCTTTTCCTCTATTTTTGAGGTATCATATTCCCGCAGCATATCAAACTCCAGCCAGGGCTTGCTCCACTTCTGTGCTTCTTTCATTTTTTCCTCAGGTAGCTCGAACTTTATTCCTTTAATGTTGAACTGTGGCCTTTCCCACCGTTTTGACCATGGCTTAGGTTTCATTCGTACCTGCAGCTAGGGTGAAAGATTAACAAATTTTAAAACAACCCAAAAGGTATTAATCACAATTTTGATTGTGAGTTTAGCAAAAGGTGAGACCATTGCCCTAACAAGGAAATAAGAGAAAACAGACCAGTTTATCAGTTATAGGGAACTACTTCTTTACTCTGTTAGCCAAAGGGGAATTTTTTGTGTCTACATGACCATTGTCATAGTATCTTATGAAAAATTTTAATTAACTGTCTTGATTAATTATACAGTCTTTAGAGTGACACATTGAGTAAAGTTAAATCATCTTTTGAAGTTCTGCTCCTTATTAAGGAAAAAGAAGAGCAGCCTACTGGGAAAGGGAGGAATGATTGCTCTAAGCTACTGAGTTACCAGACAACACTCCAACAAGCTCTGCTGGTTTCTGGCTCTTCTCCCAGAATGCAGATTTTAGGTGTCACTTCCCGTCTTACCTTCCTTCTGGGCACCTTGCACTCCCAAATCCATAACCACATTACCGCTAATGTTTCTGTAAGAAAGAGCTTTACCCTCTGCACGCTGTTATACAGAGGCATGTGGAAGCCACCACTCCATGAAATTATGGAGGATGGCAGGTATTTATATTTTCAACATTTCATCACTACAGATATGGCATAAAGACTCGCCTTATTTTGCCACCCTGGTAAACTAATGTAGCACAGAGCTGGTTAACAGCCTGCCAGTGTATCAGTCAGATATGAAAGTTACCTAAATGATCCTCCACTTTCCCTCTGAAACACATGGCTCTTACCTTGTTTACAGGGATTTCTTCATGGGCTAAACGAGACACAGGTTTCATATTCATATCAAATGTACTATATTCAGGGAGAGCATCTCGCAGGTACATCAGGTTGTCATCCAGCCTCTTTTCCAGCTTCAGAACCTCTATCGACTGGATTCGAGGATTGTACAGTTCATAACGTATTTCAACACCTTGGAGAGAGAAAGTCTGACTTAATGAACCAAATTCATTAGAAATACTAACACCAATTCGCTATTCAGTGTTACACGTTCCTGTATTATTCAAGAACTTCCTTCTACTTATCAGAAAATTAAACATACAGCGCTGTGTGCATGTGTGATTGTATACGTGACTGTGTCTGCACAGGCAAATACCAATTTCCATGTCAAGTCTTTGATAACAGAATGTCTTAAGAGACATGGATGGCTTGAATTTAAGGAAGATGAGCTTGGGTTTTAAACTTTACTTCCTTTTGGTTACTATGGCTGGCATTACTTAGCTCACTGTATGTGTAGTGTGTATAAAGAGACACCCACCCCTTGCATATTTATTCTCAAAACATCAGTATTTGCACTGCCCCCCATTTTGTTGTAGACCAGAATAAGAACCTGTCAATAAATGCTGCTAATTTGTTGCTTGTTAAACAGTTCACGTGTACATCCCCAGTTCATGCAAAGACACAGCACTCAAACTGGGCTAGTATTTGCGTGGCTAGCAGAAGACCACACATCTAAGCACAACCATAGTGAATTGCCTTCAGTCTTTCAGAACACAGATCTATAAATCACTAAATGTAGAAAAAAAATTACTACACAGTTCCATGCCTTCAATTATAGAGCACATCAGCATCGCTGTGTGTACAGTTTTAAACTTGCACTATCCTCTTTTCATCTTCTCCACAGACTAAATTTCTACACCAGGTATCGCTTCACATACACCTCCAACATTTTTTTAGCTTAACTTTCTAGCATAAGTAGTAGCAGTAGGACAAGGGGTAATGGGTTTAAACTGAAAGAGGAGAGATTTAAATTAGATAGTAGGAAGAAGCTCTTCCCTGTGAGGGTGACAAGGCCCTGGCACAGGCTGGCCAGAGAAGCTGTTGCTGCCCTCTCACTCGCAGTGTTCAGGGCCAGGCTGGACGGGACTTGGAGCAACCTGCTCTAGTGGGAGGTGTCCCTGACCACAGAAGGAGGGGTTGGAACTAGATGATCTTCCAACCCAAACCATTCTATGGTTCCATGATAATTACCACAGTTAAAAACCCACCTTGATCTTCTATAACATTCCGAAGAACAAAGGTAGCGCCAAGTCCTTTTCCTCCTCTTTGAATGCAGATGCCTACAAACCGGTTGGTTTTGTTATTGGCATATGGATCTGCAGTAGTAACAGCGAGGATGCTGCCTGCCAAAAAAAAACCACATGAAAACAAAGAAGACTGGTCAAATAAATACCAAAATGTGGGAAGAGAGTCAGACAAAGTACATGCCTTCAGTTACGTTCTGAAAATGTTCTATTTTCCATGAAAACTGCCAGAATCAGAATAAACTTCTAACATGCCCTGAATTAATGTATGTTAGAGTGATTCTGCAGGTTAACTATGAAGCTTCTTCACCTTTGCACCTGCCCCTTTATCATTTACTGTTGACTATCCAAATTGAATAGAAATAATGTATTTTCCTTTCTTGAGCCTTACTGGTAAACCGTATGCTAAAGTGCCAGGATTGAAAAAAAACATAAAGGAAACTCATCAGTATTATATTTTTAATGGAAATCAGGTGTAAATATGAAATTAAAATGTGAAGTAGCATGTACAGGAACACATACTAGTTGATCTAACACACCTGACACTACTTAACAAAACCTGACCACACTTTTTACCCACCCCCACACCATAAAACACTGATGAGAGGTTTAGTGCTGTTACTGACCAACATAGAACTCGGGGATGTTGAAGACTTTTCTTCTCTGTATCATATCCTTCCTTTCTATATAGTACTTAAAGGGATCTGTTCTTCCTCTAGGAGGTATAAATTCAGGGCTCAGGAACCTTGAAGAAAATTCAAACTTAAAGTATGAACCAAAAGCATTTCCATAAAAAGTATCAGAGAATTTCAAGTATTTGGCCTAAAAATTAGCCACCTGTTAACCACTGATACCAGCTGCCTTTTCAGAGATACAAACTGCATTCAGGAAGTTACCAAATTTTTTTTTTTTTGTGAGGTTTTGTTGTTGGGTTTTTTTTGCTCATTTATTTCATTCTTTTAAACAATTTTTCAAAAACAGTAACAAATGCTGGTCTTCACAAGTTGACTGAAAGAGCTGAAGTTCAGTTACTGCTGTCACAGCTAAGGAATAGGTTATGTCACTGTAACTGTAATTACATGAATTACACATTTAATGACTTTATAGTAACAGATACAGAACAATATATTACCAGCTTTTACAAACCAATTCTACACAAGACACCGCATAAATGTTCTTTTGTGTTAGAGAGGCTTAAAAGAGACTCTCAAAACTATTTTCTGCTCCAACAAATTAAAACAATGCCAAGGAATTTCCTCATGCCCTGCAACTCAGTTATCCAAGTGCTGAACACACATCCTGACATGGTACTGGCCTGGGCTGAGGACTGTTTCCAACAGACCATTTGGATGTGGTCACTCTGGTTTGGATGGTAAGACCAGTTGGCCTCAGGGCTCGAGAATGAAGCTGGACACATCTAATTCACTAGCACAGATGTTTCTTAAAAGTTCTGGATCTGGCCGAAGAGAAGTGCCCAACACAGAAAAGAGGACAAATGCAAACCTGCCTTACAAACCCTATAGGGGCTGCAGGGGGGAGCAAAGGGCAATCTGCTTGGCAGCACATAGGCTGTGGTTCGTGCTGCTGCCTAAATAACTTCAACCCTACTCATGATCTTCAAAGCTGCACAATCTTGGAAGAATAAAACATCATTTAAATGCAACTGCCTGTCCTGCTGCATCACACACTGCATTTTTTACAGGAGCCACACAGACTCTTCACTTCTTAAAAGATGTTTCCATAAGGAGATCTTAACACAGTGAGGAAATTTTTGCAGTCTGGTTTTTAATACCTTCCCCACTCCTAGGCTGCCTACATGCTACGGTGTGTTTTTTGGGGGGGCAAGAAGGGAAGATGACCAATACAGTACTACCACTCTCCTTCCAGACACAGCACTGCAGTTTTAACCACCGTGCTATCTAAAGCAATGTAAGCTGGTTGAGGTGAAAATAAAACCACTCAGAACAAAAGATGCATCAGGAGGCTTACCACTGACATCAGGTCCATTTCACAAACAGCAATGTTATGTACTCACATCTGATCTCAAACGCTAGGGCAAAGGCTGACACAGGACCCAAGTCTCTGCCACCATGTGGAATACTGAGGGGCTGCATGCCTCTAACAGAACCGCACACATTAACCCAAATTTGCAAAAGTGGTTATGCTATACAGTTTTTTCATGTTTCACACCTTTCAAGAACCCTAGAACACAGCATTTTAAGGTGTTTTAAAACATATTTCAACAAAAATAGTCTTTATCAGAACTTTGAACATGCTTTTTGTGTAGCAACACCTTGCAGCTTTAAGGAGGTGGTCACACTAATCCCATCTCCCACAGAACACACGCCCGCTGCGGTATGCCGCAGGACACCCTACCTCCTCTCATCTTGCTGCTTCTGCTTGTCAACAATGACGGGCTTTGGAGGCGGCTGAAATTTTGCCGGTTTTCCATCGCTGTCCGTTCGACACCCCGAGGAAGAAAAATACCCTGCAAAAGATAAAATAATATCAAACCCCGTGTTTTCAAGTTGACCCGCCCCCAACAGCCGCGCAGCTCCAGACCCCCCTCCCGTAGGCCCCGGGGGCATCCCCCTCTCAGCCCCGCTTTCCAGCACACTGATGGAAAGAGACAGGGACAGACACGGACGGGAAGAAAGAGGGCAGCGGGCAGGCGGGGTAAGGGGCAGGGCGGGTGCTCACTGCCGCACAAGGCAGCGCTCCGCGGCAACAGCCTCCCGCAGGCAGCTGCCATGACGACTGCAGCCACTTCCGGCCCGGTGGCGCGTGCGCGTAGAGCCGCTATGGCGAGCGAGGGTGGACAAACTATCCCCGGGCGCGAAGCGGGGCCGCGGCCGTGGAGCTGCCTGCGGAGAAGTGAGGGGCCGGGCCCGCCTGGGCTCATGTGGAGCTTCCCCACTCCAACACCTGGCTGCGGGGCGGCCCAGCTCCTACCTAGGAGGAGTTTTGGGTGTGGAAAAAGTGTTCAAGGCCAGGTTGGACAAGGCGCTGAGCATCCCGGTCTAGTGGAAGGTGTCCCTGCCCATGGCAGGAGGTTGGAACTGTATGAGCTTTCATGTCCCTTCCAGCCCAAACTATTCCATGACCTAAAAGGAGGACCAGAGAGCACCCGGCTCTAAATCAGCCATGGAAGGGGAGATGGGCAGGTGCTGTGGTGTTGTGTTGCACTGCTGCAGCTGCCAGTGTGTCCCTGGGCTTACCAGGGTCAGCAGGAATACAGTGCAGGCATGCTCGTAGTAGTTCTGACCACTGGGGGAATCCAACAGGGTTTATTAATGCTGGCTTTGATGTGTGCAAGTGTTTATATGGTGTCCAGAAACCAGGTCTTGCATGTTTTCGTGGTAGAAAAGCTCAGCTAATATTTTTTTCTAGGCCATTGTTAGCACTACCTGTAATACAAACGACCTGCAGTCCCAGTGTTTTCACCATTACTGGTTTAGAAATTATGATACACATTAGTGTTATGGAGCTACTTTTCATATGTATCATGAGGGGAGAAGTGGGGCCGTCATGGGGCGAGATCATGGGGGGACAGGAGAGGTGGCCATGAGGAGTGAAGGGAGAAAGTGAGGGGAGAGCAGAGGTGGCCTTGAGGGAAGATCATGAGGAGAGAGGTGGGGAAGTCATGAGGAGAGGGAACAGGAAGGGCAACCATGAGGGGAAATTGTGAGGGGACTTGAGGGGTGGCCATGAGAGGTGAGAGGAGATCATGAGGGAACAGGAGCGGCAGCCATGAGGGATGAGGGGAGATTGTGAGGGAAGAGCAGGTGTGGCCATGAGGCAAGATCATGAAGGGAGAGGTGTCGCAGTCATGAGGGTAAGGGGAGATGGTGAGAGGACAGGAGAGGCAGCTGGGAAGGATGAGGAGAGATTGTGAGGGGACAGGAGGGACAGCCATGAAGGGTGAGGGGAAAGCATGAGGGGAGGGCAGGGGCAGCCATGGGAGAAGATAATGAGGGGAGAGGTGGGGCAGTCGTGAGGGGTGAGGGGAGATCATGAGGGATGAAGGGAGATTGTGAGGAGAGAGCAGGGGCAGCCATGAGGGAAGATCATGAGGGGAGAGGTGGGGCAGTCATGAGGGGGGATTGTGAGGGGAAGGGGGACGGGATGGGACAGGGGCAGCCATAAGAGGGGATGGGGGGGGAAGGGGGGTGGCAGCCATAAAAGGAAATTATGAGGGAACTTGAGGGTTGGCTGTGGGAGGAGAGGGGAGATTGTGGGGTAAGAGCAGGGGCAGCCATGGACAGTGAGATAACAGGGTATCATTTGGGCTTGATGATCTTAAAGGTCTTTTCCAACCTAGTTGATTCTATGATTCTATATGTGTTTCTGCCAGATTTCCTTAGATATCAGTAGCAGTCTGGATTCAGTTAGCGGCTACACAGGCAGGAGAAAAGTGAAGCTTAAATACGGAGTGTGGAGCTATAAATAACACCTCACTGTTTAAACTTTGCAGCGATTCACTTCAAAATGTGCCTGACCTCATCAACTAATCAGATCAATCATGTTGACTGTGATGTTCACCGAGCCCCTTGCATTGGTGGCAGCTGATTCTGTAGCCTGCCTGAGTCCCTGCATTAACAGGAGTTATTTTGCAGTTTGTGATCAGCTCTTTGGTTATTTAACCGTGCTTTAGAAGACGGGGTGCACAGAAGACAAACCGCAGGATTTCTTGGTAATAACCAGGGCATGAATAGGACACAAGAGGGCACTCTGACCCTTAAAATAACAAAAAATCGCCAACGCTGGGCGCACCCCTTGAAGCGCAGGCTCCTTCTCAAGGTTGTTTTTTTTTTGTTTTTTTTTTTTTTTTAAATTCTTGTCACTACCTAAACACTATTAAAAAGGCAGAAGAATGTATCCTACAGGGATGAGAAATAGAGCATATGGGCTAATTCCAATAGCTTCATGGTGATCAAGAAGGTCCCAAAACTGCTGTAAGGAAATGTTTCGGTTACAACTTGGAAAACTGTGAGTTTCTGGCTCACAACTGTCTTTAAAGAAGAGAGATAGGCACTTCAGTGTAAGGGAGCCATTTACAGCTCCTTGGCTGACCACTGTTGATTTCAGCTTAGCAAGATCATACTGACAGGCTGAAACTGCGCTGAGCTCAGGGCTTCCCAAGTTACCAGTAGGAAACCTCACTTCTCTTGAGGTGCCCTGCAGGGCTCAGAATCTTGCCCCTGCACTGTGTGTCTAGTTCCTGTTGAAACACCTTGGTATCAAGGCACTGCAAATTTGCTTGGGACTGGTCAGGTATGCCCCAGCTTTACATTTTTGAGAAGCACAAGTGGAGGTTGTTGAGGTAGACTAACAAACAGCAATGCACTGAGAGATTGGGCTCACTCAATTAGCCAGCTGGATGTGCTCCCGTCTCCAACGTATTTGAAAACCAAATCTCTTTTAGTATGGGCAACATGTTCTCTCTCAGGTCGTCAGTATAACTGGTGCCTCTTGGACGTAGTAGAGACACAATTCCTAAGTAAAGATTTCATTGAATGATGGTTCTCCTCATTAAAGGAAAAAAAGCTGATGTTTAGGGACTAAGTGGGATGAAGGACATCTGCCCTGTGTTTTGCTCCACCCTTTCTTTGTGACTCTGAGTCACTGGTTTTTGTTTTCTATGCTTAATCTCAACTTCATTGTAAGCAAAGCATGAAGAACAGACCTTCTCAGACCATATGCTGCTTTTGGCCAGATGGAGAAATGGTATGTATTTCTCATGTGGAGATACCCAACAGGCTGTTGGCTCAGAATAGGTTAAAAGACAGCTGCTTCAGGTCTAGGACACACCTGGGTTCACAGGACACTGGATGTGAAGTAAGAAATACCAAAAATTGTTACCAGTATTTGGGCAGGACTCTCGCTCTGAGTTGTGTGAAAGTTGGCAGGCTGCTTCCTGGCTTGAGCTGACTTGCCTATCTGCATCTAATACATGGGATTCTTGTGTCCCCATGAAGCCATGCAGTGCTTCAGTCCAAGCATAGATGTGTGCATCAGCCTCTGCAGCACCAGGATAAGGGCTGAAACAGTCTGTACTGCAGTCTGAAATCCCACAGATTTTTTCCTAAATACCTAAGGCCACTTTGCAGCAACCCCAACACAGCTGTCTGTGGTGTGGCAGAAGGTGTGAGGAAGGGAGTGAATTTTTATGCTGCTCAAGGAAACTTGGATGTCTTTTTAGAGGAAACACAGCAGAAGATGGTAACACATGCTCTTATTGTTATTATATCTCTAAACAGAAAGAGAGTCTGAGTTGCTCTGGAGATGTAGTCTGTTGTGCATTCAGGGTTAAGAAGAGGCAGTTGGATTTCTCCAGATTCCAAAAGAAATGGGGCTGGCTCATGGAGGGCCTTCCCCACCTCATCCTCTCTGAGTGTGCAGAAAACCCTTGTGGTCATCTCCTTCAGGAATGGGAAGAAGCATTGGCTCGATACAGACCTCAGATCTTGCCATAGTTTGGTCTCAGTTGGATTTGGAAATGGAAACACTGCTTTTGATAATTCTTTTTTTTTTTTTTTTAAATCTTGCTTTGGCATTTGTTACCTCAGGAGTGAAGCTCCTGACATTTATGCAACAGTGTGGCACAAATGCATCTCTCATACTCTTGCTTCTGTTTTTGTGGTTTGTACAGTTGTAACACCAGGTACAACTCACACCTCTGCTCACAGAGGCATCACTCAAATCTCAGAGGAAGAAGGTCTATGGGGTGAATTCCCTCAGGCATTCAATATACCCTAATTGCTAGGAGATGCTGGGCTTCTGAGGGTCTCCTGAGATGCTTTTCCAGCGGAGGAATGGAGGCCTAAGTAAGCTAACTGGAAGGACAAGGACAAGCTCTGGTGTGGAGTAGCTCCACTGCTCCCTGGCTTGCATGGTGACATCTTCCTGAGGAAAGCATCCCAGAATATGCCTTTGTCCTAGCCAAGTTGTGCCCTTTACAGAACAACCATCGAGTCATTCATAGTTGCTGTAGCCTTACCAGTGGCTGATGGAACAGACATAGCTCCCCTTGGACTGAGTGGCCATGTATATCACACAGTCCAGGAGTATCTGAATCCTTCTGGGTCTCTTGCAAAACCAGGTCAGCACAGGCACAAGGCAGTGCCTGGATTCCTCTGAGCCCTACTTATCTTATATACTTATCTATAAACTATGCTGTAAAGTTTTGATTATAGTGGATTTTATTAGAATATTTAAACAATCTGGTGGTGGCTCTAGTCTTTCTGGAAGCTTCTGTTTAATGAGACATGAGTTGTTAGTTTAATGTGTGTTTACCTTGCTGAAACTTAGTAATTGGAGATATCCCAAACTGTTGCTTAAAATAACCAAAGGCGTCCGACCCTTCTGGCTTCAACAGCTGTTCATTAAGGTGGCCACCAAGCATCCACAATTACAGTTTCTCCCTTACTGTAGAGCAAGCAAAGAGGAGAAGGAGATCTGTTCTTCAGACACATTGTCCTAGCACTGTACTTGGAAAACTGATGGACTGGAAAATCTTCAGCTCACTCTGTCAAAACACCCCCAGGCCTCCACTGTTTTGGAGCATACATCCTGTTGGAGCCACGTG